TAGGTATTTATTTTGATTCAAAACTTACATGGGTGGATCATATAAACAAAGTTATTGAAAAATGTCAGAAGGTATTAAACATCATGAGATGTGCAAGTGGAGTGGCATGGGGGGCAAGTTTTTCGTCATTAAAAACTATTTATGTGGCACTGATCAGATCTGTGTTTGATTATGGCAGTGTGGTATAATTCGGCTTCAAAAACCCTGTTGGAAAAACTGGATAAAATACAAGCCCAAGCTTTGAGACAGTGTTGTGGAGCTGTAAAAACGACACCCATTCCTTCTGTACAAGTCCTGTTAGGGGAGATTCTACTGGAAGTGAGAAGGAAACCATTAATGATCAATTACTGGGCTAACCTCAAGGGCCATAAAGATGATCAGCCTACAAAAATGGTTTTAATGAAGTGTTGGGAACAAAATAAGTTGAGTAGAAAAGGTTTTGGATGGAGTAGTGAAGCGTATGTAGAAGAAATGGAGGTAAATAGGTTTAAGATGAGCCCAACAGTTGTGATTCCTGAAACTGAACCATGGAGTTGTATAACTCCCCATATAGATTTACATTTGTTGGAAATTAAAATAGCAGAAAGAGAAGTAGACATGTCTTCAGCATTCTCTGAACATGTTAGATCCTCAATACTTACAAATATTTACAGATGGCTCGAAAGATCCAGAGCGAGAGACAACTGAAGCTGCTTTTTTAGTTCCTGACTGGGGCTCATAGTATAAAGCGAACGTCCAATCATCTGGCAGTATATACTGTTGAAATGATAGCGATACTCTTGTCCTTGCAGTGGGTAGAGACCTGGAAAGGTTTTAATTTGTTCTGATTCACTCTCAGTTTCAAAAAGTCTAAGGTCTTTTAAATCCAGTCATCAAGATATTCCTTTTAGTATTTTACAGATATATTCAAGATTGGTTCAGAGTGATATTTCAATCAGCTTTATTGGGTTCCATCACACGTAGGTGTAAAGGGAAATGAGGACGTAGATAAGTTAGCAAAACAAGCGTTGCAGAGAGAAGAAATAGAATTACAAGTTCCTCTAAGCAAGTCTGAAATGAAGGTTTTAATCTGGAAAAAGGTTATTGCAGAATGGCAAATAAATTGGGACAATAATGAAAAGGGTAGATTTTTCTACAATTTCATTAACAAAAAATAAGACATATTGGTAAAACAAGGAAAGAAGAGGTTGTTTATAATAGAATATTGTTGGGACATTCCAATCTTAATAGTACACTCAAAATATTAGGGAAACATCCAGATGGACTTTGTGAACAATGCAAAGTAGAAGAAACGGTAACCCGTGCAATTCTTGAATGTAGGAAATATGAGGAAGAAAGAAGTACTATGATAGTTGAAATCAAGAAGAATGGAATTCAGGTGGAACATTTTAAATAATAAAATTAATCAAATGGGCAAGTGAAATAAATAGCAAAGCTTTTTTTCATTTTCTTATGTAACTCTGTTTCGCACTCCGGAGCAGAAGGTGGCGGTAATGCACTTAATTATGCTGGTTGCCAGCCGCCGTTAAAAGCCAAGAAGAAGAAACGGGACTTTTATTTTGCGCTGGCGATGTGACGTCACAAAGCTGCGCCGCGATTCTGCATCGGTTTGTGATCCGGCTGAAGAAAGGTTTGCGTTTTCTACGGTTTTTAAATCAATGCACACTGTTCTATCAATTTCCCCGTTTTTACAAGCTACGTAGAATAAATTAACCAATCTTAAATATAACGGTGTAATAGTTTACTTAGCGTTATTTTAGTGAGTAAAGCGCATCCTCATATTAATCACAGAAAAGGCGCGTCTCATCTCGCTCCAGATATCGTGAAGAAGCGACGAGAGAAACTGAGAATCCGAATCTTCTGAACCGAGTCATTCGTAAAATGATTCAGTGATTCGAATCAGCGCGCGCTGACGATAAACGAGAACAAACACAAACACGTTCAATGAAAACTTTTACAAACCACCTGCAAATGTTTTCATGAAAGTGTAATCTATTTATTATGATGTACAAATAATTGAATACCAAATATAAATCATAAATACCTATTATGTATAATTAATATTTTTATCTGGTCATTTAAGTCCCATTAACGATCACTCCCTCACTAGTGTGCTGACTACTGAACTAGGGAGCTGATTGAGACGCATCCAGAGATTTAGTTTGCATTTATTTTTGAGAGCAAATTACTTTAATTATTTTCTTCTTAAACAGGACACAGTGTCGGAACACACAGGAAAACTCCTGCTGAAGCAGCTGAGATCCACGCGATTTCAAGTTTTCCTTTCTCTTTGGAGTGTTACAAGCTGATTGTGCATAGATAAGATCCCTGAAGTTGCAAAGACTAAAGTCTCAAAACCAAAGAGATATTCTTTATCAAAGTTAAGACTCTGCCACGCCCCCCTAAAACGGCTCGTTCTAACACGCCCCCACATATCTACCTCACTATGTGGAAATATTTGCATAAAATACACAAAATAATTATCTTTAAAAAAGCATCATATGACCCCTTTAATGGTTTTACTGGTTATAGTGGGACTTGTATTGGTTTTAATGGACCCTGTGGGGCTCTACTGGAAATTGGTCACTTTCTATTGGTGGCTTAATTGTTAAAACCAATGAATCATAATGGAATATGTCCCAAAACACACTACAGAAATCCATTTTTAATGGTTAAAAGTTGATGGTTTGTAATGGTATTTGAAGTGGAAACCATTAGAATTTTCTGTGATGGTTCTATTGTTTTTTTTTTCAGCAGGGATGGAGTTTATTAAAGAGGAGAGTGAAGACATGAAGATTGAAGAAGCATTCAGAGCCAAACATGAAGATACTGAGGAACAAACAAAGATGGCGTTTATTAAAGAGGAGAGTGAAGACCTGAAGATTGAAGAAACATTCAGAGACAAACATGAAGATACTGAGGAACAAACAGGTTGGTTTTCATTCTCAAAGCTGAACTCACTCATCTGATCCTTATTAAAATGTTCAGCTCTACAGGAATGATTGACTACGTTTACATGGACATCAGTAATTATTTACCTTATTCTAAATAAGCCAATATTATCCATCCGACTTCCCCTCCGGAATTTCACGTTTAAACATATAGTTCGTCTTCATTATGATGCCATGTACAGTTTTAGGTGTTTAATTTTTAATTTACTGAAAGCTTCAAGTGCAGTTAATTCTACAGGAATGATTGACTACGTTTACATGGACATCAGTAATTATTTACCTTATTCTAAATAAGCCAATATTATCCATCCGACTTCCCCTCCGGAATTTCACGTTTAAACATATAGTTCGTCTTCATTATGATGCCATGTACAGTTTTAGGTGTTTAATTTTTAATTTACTGAAAGCTTCAAGTGCAGTTAATTATTTGTACGTGCATTCAGACGATGGCGTTGTTGAAGCCATGCTCTTTTGTTTGCTGTAAAACGGTTGAGCACTGCCGTGTGTGTATCCTGTCGCAAAATGCGGTGAAAAGTCCTACACGACGGTAATAATGTGATTAAGGTGTGTACATGTCTATAATGCACTTCAATAATGCAACTAAAATAGGAATACTCCACATGTCTTAATTCGATTTCGGTTTACGTCGAATATGACTTTAGCCGGATTAAGGTAATCAAAAATCTCTGTTTACATGGTAGATTCTTAATCAGAGGATTGTCTTAATCGTGTTAAAATCGGATTATTGTTGTCCATGTAAACGTACTCAATGATATTTATGAAGAATTTATGAGTAGTAATTAAAGCGGTTTGTTGACAGACATGTTGAGATCACATAACCAGACAAATAATAACACTGCTCCTGTCGCAAAATGCGGTGAAAAGTCCTACACGACGGTAATAATGTGATTAAGGTGTGTACATGTCTATAATGCACTTCAATAATGCAACTAAAATAGGAATACTCCACATGTCTTAATTCGATTTCGGTTTACGTCGAATATGACTTTAGCCGGATTAAGGTAATCAAAAATCTCTGTTTACATGGTAGATTCTTAATCAGAGGATTGTCTTAATCGTGTTAAAATCGGATTATTGTTGTCCATGTAAACGTACTCAATGATATTTATGAAGAATTTATGAGTAGTAATTAAAGCGGTTTGTTGACAGACATGTTGAGATCACATAACCAGACAAATAATAACACTGCCTTCAAGTGCGGCTGAGAAGATCCTGCTTTCACATTGAGCCTTTGTTATTATGACATGCATTTAAATTGTAACAATAATTCGGAATTAGCCTAAAAAAATCTGCTTCTAAAATTAAAACCATTCATTTCTAGCACTTAATTATGCAAAAGTATCTAACAAAATCATTGCATAAAGCAAACCTTGAAATGTGAGTAATTACATTTGGCTAACGTTTGCATCTACATTTGTTCATTTAAAGGGATTTGGTGACACATAAAAACGGTGTTTTCATTTTAAAACGCTCTCCATCCACACTAGCGCTTTTAAAGCATTTTCCAAAAGTTTCTTATGCACACTGAAATATCAGAAAACGTTAAATTTGCTTTACTGTGCATGCGTAAAGCCTCAAACAGCTCACTGAGACTATACTAGAGATGGGCATTTTCCACAAATATTACATTTAAATATTTGGGCTCATAAATGAATATTCATTTGTTCAAATTAAGTTTGAGACAGATTTTATTTTTGAGTAAAACATTTTTTATCGAAGCTTAAACATCAAGCTACATCATGTATTATGATTTCGCAAATTGATATTATTCGCAGAGCGAATTAAAAAAATGAAGAATTTAAATTAAATAATTAAATTTTATTATTTTAAAAGGTTCCTTGAGGTTTACTTATAATGTTAATAAAGTGTTTCTGCACAAAACAACAACAAAAAACAAAAATAAATATGTGGGAAAATTATTTTTTTCAACCCTCATTCTGAACCGCTCTCAGAAACAGGCTATTTTTAAGGGGTGTGTCCTTTTAAAGGGTTAGTTCACCCCAAAATTTAAATTAGCCCATAAATTACTCACCCTCAATTCATCCTAGGTGTGTATGACTTTCTTCTTTCAGACGAATCCAGTCGGAGTTATATTAAAAATTGTCTTTGATCTTTCAAGCTGTTTATTGGCACTCAGCGGGTGTTGCAGTGCTTCGGTCCAAAAGAAGTTAAATAAAAAGCGCTCATCCATAGATAGATGGATGGAAGGGGGGGGAGGGGATGAACAAAGGCCTCCTGTAGCAAATCGATGCGTTTTTGTAAGAAAAATATCTATATTCAAAATGCAATAATCACTTTAATCTAGCTTGCGCTCACTGTTGTAAAACGGAAGCAGCTCCGGGCGGATGACGTATGAGGTCGGCTTTGCGCATGCGCCGCTCAGAAGTGATGAACGCGGAAACGCAGCGGAAAGATCGAGACAAAACAACGGTCACTAATTAGAAGTACAAAACGAGGATTTGTAAAGAAGAATATCAGAGGATTTCGATATAAGCCAAGAGGAGACTGCTTTTCCGTTGCTAAAGGAAACTTTGCTTCTTTTGATCCTGTAAACAAACGTTGGTTTTCACGAGACTCACCGGCGCATGCGCAACGCTGAACTCGTACATCATCCGCCCGAATCTGCTTCTGTGTACAACTGGGCGCAAGCGACATTAAAGTGATTGTTACGTTTTGAATATGGATATTTTTCTTACAAAAATGCCCAACCCTGTTCCTGGAGATCTACCTTCCTGCAGAGTTCAGTTCCAACACTGATCAAACACACCTGTCTGTAATTATCAAGTGCTCCTTCAGATCCTAATTAGTTGGTTCAGTTGTGTTTGATCAATTCTGCAGGAAGGTAGATCTCCAGGAACAAGGTTGGGCACCTCTGATTTAATGGTTACTAAAATAGTCATTTCCATGCATATTTCCGTCTATTATGTTTTATATCGTTATATATTGAATATTCATAAAATGGCTATGTTTAGGTTTGTGGGTAGGTTAAGGGGTCTAAAAATGTAAATCATTTATCGATAAAATGATAAAAATGTATTGATACACATATCTTTGATATAATTGATTCATAAATATTTTACTTTTCAGCTGTAAATATGTAGTAATTTTATTTTTTAAACCATGAAATACGTGCCAATTTCATGTTTCGGCATCAATCAACGCAGTCAAAAATGTATGTTTTATTTTAAAAAAAGACCACGCTGGGAATGCAGCATTAAAGCGAAACCTGCTGCAGTTTGAGTCATTGATGTAAATAAAAAAAAGAAAGCGAGAAAGACTGAGAAATCAACCTCTGTTCTGCTCGCTGATTAACTTTTGTAGCTTGAATAAAGATCACTATATTCAATTTATAGTTTATACATAAACAAATTATACTTTGTGAATGTTTTTATGTTCACTATTTTTAAAAGCCTAATAAATGTTAAAAAATCGTGGCTTTCAGTGATACTTAATAGTGCTGAATTGCTATAATTAATGGCTAAATTTGAGGGGAAAATGAGATACAAAAACAGCTACTGGTCTCTTTATTAATGACACTGGCCTTCACTAACAATAGGCTACTTGGGGGAGAAAAAGATGCCATTATACAATACATTTTAAATACACCATTTTTGTTGTTTCTATATTAATTTGGAGATTCAATGTGAAATTATAACAATATAATTATATATTTTTTAATATGCAATTAATTACTGAAAACGTGCAATTAATTAGTTAATGTGTTTAATCACAATAGACCGCACAAGTCTAAATGTTTGAATGTCTGTCTCTTTGTGCCATTAAACTTGTATTTGTCTCTTTTCACCTCAGACCTGATGGCGCTGAAAGAAGAGAGTCAAGAACTGAATGAAACGGAAGAGAAAGATCAAAATGAAAAACAGCATGATTTGAAAACTGAAGAAAAATCAATTAGTTGCTCACAGACTGAAAAGACTTCCTCACCAAAAAAAGCTCAAAAAATACAAACTACAAACCTTAATTCCCACTTAATAATTCACGCTGGAGAGAGCTCTTTCACCTGCCAACAGTGTGGAGACATTTTCAATCGAAAAGAAAGCCTTAAAGTCCACATGAAAATTCACATTGAAAAGAAATCGTTCATATGCTCTCAGTGTGGAAAGAGATTTGCACATAAATATCACCTTAATGTCCACATGAGAATTCACACTGGAGAGAGACCTTACATCTGCGAAGAGTGTGGAAAGAGTTTCACACGTAAAGGAAACCTTAAGACTCACATGAGAATTCACACTGGAGAGAGACCATTCATATGTGATCAGTGTGGAATGTATTTTACGCATAAAAAAACCCTTAATGTCCACATGAAAACTCACACTGGAGAGAGACCTTACACCTGCAAACAGTGTGGGAAGAGTTTCAAACGAAATGGAGATGTTACGTCTCACATGAGAGTTCACACTGGAGAGAAACCATTCGTATGTGTTCAGTGTGGAAAAAGTTTTAAACAGAAAAGACTCCTTAATTCCCACATGAGAATTCATACTGGAGAGAGACCTTTCAGCTGCAAACTGTGTGGAAAGAGTTTCATATGTAAAGAAAACTTTAGGACTCACATGAGAGTTCACAATGAAGAGAGACCATTCATATGTGCTCAGTGTGGAAAGAGTTTGAGATATAAAGAAAGCCTTAATTATCACATGAGCACTCATTCAAGAGAAAACGGTTTTAAATGTCATCAGTGCGAAAGGAGTTTCTCAGACACGATTCGCCTTAAGAATCATGTTCAAATTCACATCCACATCGGAGAAAAGCCTTTCATGTGCCATCACTGTGGAAAGAGTTTAAAAAACACTGCAAACCTTCAGAAACACGTAAGAGCTCACACTGGAGAGAAACCTTTCACCTGCAAACAGTGTGGAAAGAGTTTCGCAGTAAAAAGGAACCTAAAGATTCACATGAGAGTTCACACAGGAGCGAGACCTTACAAGTGCCTTCATTGCGAGAAGAGTTTCAAGTATCTAAATGAACGGAATCATCATTTACAAACTCATTCTGGGAAGAAATTGCCGTGACAAGGTTTAGAAAAAGGAGCAATTTCGTTCTCATTTCTTCAGGTAGCTACAGGTATGGAATTGCGTTAAAAGTAATATCCCAATTAAAAACTTAGAATTGCCCTGAACATCTTTATCCTTGTATGGCATCTTCTGAAGTCAAATTGAAGGGTCTTGTTTCTAGATTTGTTGAATATTTCAATGACTCAAGGGTTCCTTCCACAAAATTTGAAGATGTCCTGGGAGAAAGACCTAGGTATATATATTTCAGAAGACACTTCTAGACATTAGGTCGTGTTCCATCAGCTCTAACTTTCAGCTCATTCAATATAAAGTTGTGCACAGATTGCATTATTCTCACACCAGGTTAAGTCCAACGAGAGAACCATTTTGGTTCTGTCCAAAAATGTATAAGTTCTTGTGTGAAGTGTTTTGTTTTTATTCAAGGGTATTTAAAGTGTTAGTTCACCCAAAAATGAAAATTAGGCTGTGTTTTACTCACCCCAGAGCCATCCTAGGTGTATATGACTTTCTTCTTTCAGACGAATACAGTCGGAGTTCGATTTAAAATTGTCTTTGATCTTTCAAGCTGTTTAATGGCACTCAGCGGGTGTTGCATGCATCAGTCCAAAATAAGTTAAATAAAAAGCACCCATCCATAAAAAAAAATGTCTCACACGGCTCCGGGGGGTGAACAAAGGCCTCCTGTAGCGAATCAATGCGTTTTTGTAAGAAAAATATCCATATTCAAAACGTAATGATCACTTGAATCTAGTTTGCACCAACAGTTGTACACGGAAGCAGTTCCGTGCGGATGACGTATGAGTTCAGCGTTGCGCATGCGCCAGTGAGTCTCGTGAAAACCAACGTTTCTTTACAGGATCAAAGGAAGCAAAGTTTCCTTACTTTAGCAAAGGAAAACCAGTCTCCTCTTGGCTTATATCAAAATCCTCTGACATTCTTCTTTACAAATCCTCGTCTTGTACTTCTAATTAGTGTTCTAATCGCGTTCATCACTTCTGAGCGGCGCATGCGCAAAGCTGACCTCATACGTCATCCGCCCGGAGCTGCTTCTGTTTGCAACGGTGAGCTCAAGCTAGGTTAAAGTGATTATTACGTTTTGAATATGAATATTTTTCTTATCAATGCGTTTTTGTAAGAAAAATATCCATATTCAAAACGTAATAATCACTTGAATCTAGTTTGCACCAGCAGTTGTACACGGAAGCAGTTCCGTGCGGATGACGTATGAGTTCAGCGTTGCGCATGCGCCAGTGAGTCTCGTGAAAACCAACGTTTCTTTACAGGATCAAAGGAAGCAAAGTTTCCTTACTTTAGCAAAGGAAAACCAGTCTCCTCTTGGCTTATATCAAAATCCTCTGACATTCTTCTTTACAAATCCTCGTCTTGTACTTCTAATTAGTGTTCTAATCGCGTTCATCACTTCTGAGCGGCGCATGCGCAAAGCTGACCTCATACGTCATCCGCCCGGAGCTGCTTCTGTTTGCAACGGTGAGCTCAAGCTAGGTTAAAGTGATTATTACGTTTTGAATATGAATATTTTTCTTAAATAAGAAAGTAATATACACCTAGGATGGCTCTGGGGTGAGTAAAAAACAGCCTAATTTAAAATTTTGGGTGAACTAACACTTTAAGACTGATTTTCACCATGACCCTATTGTTGCTGTATTATTCTGTTCTCCACATTTCAAGACGCAAACTTTGGAAGACTTCATGCTCAACGCTATCTGAATACACCTCACACCTTAAAAACTGCAGTGGAGAACTATATAACTTCAAAGAACATGGCCCACATTTAAACTCCGGTTAGCTCAGAAACCTTTGTTTCAAATAAAAGAAACTGATGAAAGGATAGTTCACCAAAAAAATGAAAATTGTCATCATTTACTTAACCTTACCAGGAACATGGTTGGGAACCACTGAGATACACAATGGGTAGGATTAAGGGTGTGAAGTAGATTTGTATTATATTCACACAAAAAGTGTGCATCATATGCATGCCAACAAATTGCGTATTATATGCACGCCAAAGGCAATAGGTATATTCCACTGCACAGACCAATCAGTGTTTGACATCAAAGTACAGCAAGAGAGATTCAGTACTTTGATGTCATACAAACACCAATCTGTCTGCGCACCACCGCTTCAAGTGTAACATACCTAAATTCTGCTTAGCACGCCAAATAATAGAAACTGAAAATTGTGCTGTTTTATACACGTTTGAATGAGATCAGGCTCAACCTTTCAGACCAAGAGAATGGAAACACCAAACTACAATTGCATTTCATTATAACTAGAAGTCAAGTGCCTGAATTCTACAATTTTGTGACTTTTGTGGGTTACTTCTAAATTCAGAGGCAGCTGAGAGATGAGCTCCTCAGTAGTTTCTTGAAAAAGCTCAGATGATCTGGTAAATTAATTAGCCACTTGTGAGGAAGAGCAGCTCCTCATCGACATCTGACAAGCCAGTGACGACTATCTCCTTCACGGTGGTTGTTCAGTAATCTGGAACAGAATAAATAGGCTACAAATCAATATTAGGCTACCATAGAAACAACTTAATTAAAAAGAGTCCATTTCACAAAGTGAAAAGTCAGATTTTTCATTGTTTTTCCTTTACATAGCAACATATTAGGCTTGTTCGACTTCATGCAAAGACCGGCTTCCACCTGACAAAAGCAATGCATTCTGGTTAGAAAATTTGTCCGACTTTGATCAGCACTGCAGTCGCCTTACAACACAAGACCAGCCGCCTAGGTCAGGCGCTGCAGTTGCTCAAAATTGACTGCAAAAGCGTTGATGACGACACACTTGGGAGAAAACATTCTGGTTAACCTATTGCTTATATTTGGAAAATGAAGTCTTTTCCTAAGATGGCCGCCAGCCCAGAGTCTCTTCCCAAGATGGCCGCCACGCCAGAGATTCCAATTGTTATGGATGTCAATCCACAGTCTTAAGCCATCTCAGTTGCCACTTCAGTGTTCCCAGTCATTGTGAACGTTGCATTTGAAGACACCCAGGCATTCCAAATGCGTTTGAGGCTGGTTTCCAGTTTGGCGGACCCACCGCTGGTTTCAGTCAGAGCAGCAGGCATCCCAAGTGCCTCAGCTCTGGTCGTCACAGAGACTGGACCCCTATCCTCAGTACTCCCTGTAATGGCAGTCGCCATTCTGTGTTTTTGGGCTACACACTGCTCTTCTACTCCTCCAGAGTCCACTCCAGCCCATGGTTCAGCTCCAGAGTCCGCTCCAGTCTATGAGTCTGGTCTAGAGCCTGTTCCAGTCTACGATTTCACTCTAGAATCCACTCCAGTCCTTCAGAGCTCACTCCAGTCAATGAGTTCTCTCCAGAGCCTGTTCCAGTCTATGAGTCTGATCCTGCGCCCACTCCAGCTCCAGAGGTGGCAGCTTCCACTGCAAAACCTCCCGAGTCAGTGGTGTCCAATTTTGCTCCTCTCATGGCAGTGGTGCCCACTTCTGAACTCTCTGTATGTCCTGCAACGACCACAGAGGTCACCCATGAACTCTCTGCCTGTCCTGTTATGGCCAAGGAGGCCATCTGTGAACTCTCTGCTTGCTCTGTCACGGCCGCAGAGGCTGTTGTTAACCTCTCTTGCCCCTTTTCCACCAAGGCAGTTTGAGTGCTGGTTCGGAACCAGAGCCAAGTTTCAAATCGGTTCTTTGTCTTTTGACACCCAAAGCACCAGCTCCGAACCAGAAAAGTGGTTCGAAAGTACCACCAAAACATTGCTGGTCTAGAACCACCTGCGTCAGGGGCTGGAGGCAGGGTTACCGTGACCAACAAGACGAACAGAAACTTTTGACCCCCATTTTTGAAATGGCAGCTAAACATGAACACGTTGGATTCGCCCTGTTTGGACGTCGATGTAGGTTCGCAAAGCCATGAATATCAGGGCTCGCCAGTCGAACCAACTCCGAACCGGCAATAGCACTGGCTCTAAACTAGCATCCAGTTCATGCTGGTGGAAACTGGGTATCTGTGCTCTCTGTTCCAGTTATGCCTGATCCGCCATGGTCTCCTGCATCATCAGCTTCACTGTGGGGCTCTTCGGACCTGTCTGCTCTGCTGAGATGGTCTTCAGCTCTGACCTGGCTCCCTGCTCTGTCGGCTCCGCCCTGTGGCCTAGGAACTAATCTCAGAATCTTCCCGTTTCTTATCAAGAGGATTATTTAAGTCTGACACTTTCAAGCACACTTTGCTGAGTATTGAAGTATTCCTAGCCTTCCTAGTTTCCATGTTTTTCCTAGTTCCATTGCCTGCATTTTGATTCTTGGACTGTTTACCTAGTTTCTTGATGCCTGCCCTGACCATTGCCTGTTTTGTGGATTACTCTTTTGCCTTTCCTCTGTTTTGGTTTATTTTAAGAAGTTTATATTGAAAATCATTTTGTGAATATGTAAAAAAAAAAAAAAAAAGACCGAAAAACAAAATTAACTTGGAAAAAATAAAACTGGAAACAGCATAAACAAAACCCAACAACAGATCATTTTAATTTAATGTAATTTAACAGCTCAATGAGACTACAAGTGAATTAGATAATTTACTTGGATAGAGAGGAATCTAGATCTTAAAGCAAAAACTTAACCGTTTGTTAGCCTCTCAGTAAAGGAAAAAACAGGTTTAAGCATTGTGCAGAAACTTAAGACCAACTCTGCTGATAAACTTTTTTTTGTAAGCCTACAGAAATTTTGGAGGCCTTCTGCTTTTTATAAAAAACCTTTACGGATTCTTACGCAGTCTTATTGCGCCTTTTAAGCCCGGGGCTATGGGGTACGAGGAGATTGTGAATATATTACAAGCACATTTTACCCCCAAGCCCATTGTAATCGTGGAGAGATTACGATTCCACAAACGGAATCAAGCGGAGGGTGAAAGTGTCCACGATTTGTTCCCTTCAAAAACAAAAGTAATCCACTGAGCTTCTTCAGCGGCTCAGATGTCGGGAATAAATGACGACTGCTATGTTCATTATTACATCCAACCAAAGAACACCTCAATCGCTTACGAGTCATTCTTGTCTTGTGCTCCGGCGGTGAAACAATGGCAGACTGATGACATCTCGCTCAGGGCGGGCATATGGTTAAACGCCAGTGTCAATCAACAATCGTGGGAGGGGCCTGTGCAGAACTACGTCACTGCCAAGAACCTCAGAACAGCCTGATTCGAGAAAGTGATCATTATTATTGGGGACTTTAAAAAAAAAAACACTGGCTGTAACTAAATCAGCATATTATCATCTCAAAAACATTGCAAGAATTAGAGGTTTTGTTTCCAGTCAAGACTTGGAGAAACTTGTTCATGCCTTTATCACCAGCAGGGTGGACTATTGTAATGGTCTCCTCACCGGCCTTCCCAAGAAGACCATTAGACAGCTGCAGCTCATCCAGAACGCTGCTGCCA